CCTTTTGCGAAAAATTTTTTTTTCACCCAAATCGTCACTTAGCATGGTTTTGCACTCACCCCTTCAATTAATTCAGGTTAACAAGTACGGTCATTTTTTGCGTTTAAAGGCTTGCCGTGACTATCAAAACAAAAATAGCAAAATATATCATTATTTTCGGATTCTACAGTTTATTAGCTTTACAATGATATATAGTTACCATGGTTTTCTTTTGAGCAGCACACAAAGAAAGCATTTTCTGGAAGGCACCCCTGAAGGTCTACAGTAACCTTAAGGTGGCTCAAAACAGTTTCCAACACTTAGATTTTGATGGGTCGTTATAACCACTCTTTATCACTTGATGCTACATATCATGGTATTAAAAAAACTGCCCAATCATTGGTGAATATGTTGTTATCATTTTCGTGACACAATAGGTTACCATAGTAACAGTATGACCTAAAAACACCGTTAATTACAGCTTTAGGGGCTTATAATTCAAAAATGGCACAGTCAAATTTTTTTATATCAACTTTTGATAAGCATGATAAGACGCAACTTTTGGCAGAGTTAAAAAAAACTCTGTAGGTAGGATTCAGAGCCACCTTAAATTTGCGAAAATTTAAGGTTTCATGCTGTTGCTAACTGTGTTGGAAACTGTTTTGAGCCACCTGAAAGTGCAACTAACCCCAATTTTTTTCCTTTAATGAAATTTTCTAGTTTTCACAATTACTTCAGCAAAAAAATTATCTCGATAAATCCCCACGTTTCTACAAGGGTTTAAAGTTGAAATTTCTGCAGTCATGACTGAGCATAGTGGGATCTGAGTTGGGCTTCTAGTGACGTCATGAATTGCGAGCGTAGTGAAAACATATTTGGGGGATTTGTGTTTCATATTTTATCAAAAATGGACGACTTTTTAATGAAGGAACTGCATCATCTAGCAGTACAATTCGGAGCCTAGCTTACGATTAGGATGGCTACCATGTATATGCTTTTTTTCGATTTCTAAGTGTGGGTTGCCAGTCAAGCCCGCCACACTGCAAGTCGCAATTGACAATTCACCATTTCATTTGGCTAATCTACTAATCTACATACAACACTTCTTTTTAGTACTCTGACTGATATCAGTAATTCATAACAAAAAAAGCATATTTTTCTGCTAATCATTCAAAATCGTGGAAACATTTGTCTTTTCATTTTGTTATTGCCGACTGACCATATGTATACAAAGTCAGTTAGTGTGTACGAACATGAACATTGCAAGTTACACAAATTTGCATTTTTCGTTCTAGTAATTAAAAATCCTTTGACATGATCTTGGCAAAAGGTTCAGTATGGTATCACTTAAATGAATATGTTTCTCCTTCACTGTTCTTTTGTTTTAATAGTCTTTTTTTATATATGCTAAAAACCTGAGTGTTGTGTTTCGGTTGAAAACAAGCTCATTCTCCTTTCAGCGTCACAATCTCCGTTAGTAAAGAAGAATCAAAATGGTTTGTTTTACTTTCCTCATGTACTTATCAATGTTTGATTCATTTGAAGTTTGTAACTGAGATATATTTTGTTGGTCAATGGACAAAGCAATAGTTGTTTTTGTTCAGGCAGAAAGGCCTTTAAGAAACTCAGCTGCCTTTTGTCGACCTCGTTTGTGTGGTTGTATATAAAATCCACAAATATGTAGCTAGTTCTGCAGTTTGAAGCCTCACTAATCTTAATCGCCTCATTGTAGGATGTACAGTGTACCGTAAATCCTTGAATTGGTGTTCGGGGCACTTATTTCAAATTTAGGAGAAGACGGGGGACGCTCTTTCAAGGCGCTTAATTGATGGGGGGAGGATGCTTATTTAAATTTTTTCCAAATCATGGCCTGATAAGATCATTTTTTAAATACATTATCTGCGTGTAAACAACAGCATATGCTNTTAATGAAATTTTCTAGTTTTCACAATTACTTCAGCGAAAAAATTATCTTGATAAATCCCCACATTTATACAGGCGTTTAAAGTTGAAATTTCTTCAGTCATGACTGAGCATAGTGGGATCTGAGTTGGGCTTCTAGTGACGTCATGGATTGCGAGCGCAGTGAAAACATATTTGGGGTATTTGTGTTTCATATTTTGTGAAAAATGGACGACTTTTTAATGAAGGAGCTGTATCATGTAGCAGTACGATTCGGAGTCTAGCTTACGATTAGGACGGCTACAATGTATATGCTTTTTTTTCGATTTCTAAGTGTGGGTTGCCAGTCGAGCCCGCCTCACTGCAAGTCGTGATTGACAATTCACCAGCTCATTTGGCTAATCTACTAATCTACATAGAGCACTTCTTTTTAGTACTCTTACTGATACCAGTAATTCATAACAATAAGAGCATGTTTTTCTGCTAATCATTCAAAAAACGCAGAAACATTTTGTCTTTTCATTTCGTTATTGCCGACTGACCATATGTATATAAAGTCAATTAGTGTGTACGAACATAAACATTGCAAGTTACACAAATTTGCATTTTTCGTTCTAGTAATTAAAAATCCTTCGACATGATCTTAGCAAAAGGTTCAGTATGGTATCACTTAAATGAATATGTTTCTCCTTCACTGTTCTTTTGTTTTAATAGTCTTTTTTTATATACGCTAAAAACCTGAGTGTTGTGTTTCGGTTGAAAACAAGCTCATTCTCCTTTCAGCGTTACAATCTCCGTTAGTAAAGAAGAATCAAAATGGTTTGTTTTACTTTCCTCATATACTTATCAATGTTTGATTCATTTGAAGTTTGTAACTGAGATATATTTTGTTGTTCAAAGGACAAAGCAATAGTTGTTTTTGTTCATGCAGAAAGGCCTTTAAGAAACTCAGCTGCCTTTTGTCGACCTCGTTTGTGTGGTTGTATCTAAAATCCACAAATACGTAGCTAGTTCTGCAGTTTGAAGCCTCACTAATCTTAATTGCCTCATTGTAGGATGTACAGTGTAGCGTAAATCCTTGAATTAGTGCTTGGGGCACTTATTTCAAATTTAGGAGAAGACGGGGGATGCTCTTTCAAGGCGCTTAATTTTCCAAATCATGGCCTGATAAGATCATTTTTTAAATACATTATCTGCGTGTAAACAACAGCATATGCTGTTTATTTTTGTGTTTATCAACATAAAAAGCCGAACCTTAAGTTTAAGTCGCGACACCGTTAGTTCTTGTAATTTTTTTCCAAACTTAACTTGTTCACAAACTGAAACAGTGCACAAATCTAATACTACACGACAAAATGGGGGGAGAGGAGGGGGGCGCTTATTTTAAATTTTGACCGAAAGGAGGGGCACTTATTCGAGGGGGGACACTTTATGTAATTCAAGGGTTTACGGTACATGTCATTGACTATTCATTTAGAAAACTCTCAATGTTGAGGGCAAAAAACTCAATGCATATATTTTGATGTATAATTATCTCACCTACAATCTTGGACAAAATAAATGGAACATCTGGACCACCCCTCCCCCCATTTCAATGATGCCAAAATGGCACGTTTTTACTCCTTCGTGCCTTCATCATTGCTTTGGGGGGATGGGGGATAATTGTTCCATTTTATTCTGTCCAAGATTGTCTGAGCACCACACTGGCATTACAAGAAGCTGTACTGTATTTGCTATGCAGATCACATCTGATCTGTTGTCGCACTTTCGATAACCAAGGGAAAAGAACGTTAGCCGAAATAATTTCTTATTATTTCTGTGAGCGATTCAAGCAGAATTGAAATAAAATCACTACATGGTTTATTTTTGGTGTGTCATGTACTTTATTAATATGAAAATTGAATATGCATAAGTGCGTGTTGAAGTGTTGGCCAAAAGCGAAGTTGTTTCATTGACCAAGCCGAATATATTTTTTATTGTTGGTATTGTGCGTGGGGGAAATAAAAATATTAAACGCTGCACATCTCTGATTAAGCTTGCTTTCTTAGTTTTTCAGAATTTAACTTTGAATTGCGGTCTTTTTAAAAGTACCTTATTGATACCTTCACAAGTTGATTTTTTTTTTCACCTCTGATGAGGTGGCAATATGTGGTGTACGTGGAGGGAGGCTTCATTGATGTGAGGGAGACAGAGTGAACTGATAGCATTGCGCTGGCATTGTTTGCCAGCAAATTTTTACGACATAAAAAAGAACATTTCAACTTACCCACAGGAAACAACAAAATAGCAGAAGAGGGGAATGGTCTTGAACCCGGGAGAGTTCTCACACTTCACCTTGACCTGCGACTTATGCGCTACTCCAATGCGCCACTTAAGCCCTCACGCTTTCAATCTATTATTTTTAAAGCCTTAACTTTTCAGGCAGTTATTAGATATTTGTCCATTGAAGTATTTTCTTTCTGTAGAATAGTTTTCTTGTAAGAAAAGAGTCTTGCACGATTTTTATCTATGTTGAAATCAAATTCAACGATTTACAAGTTTTTATTGACGATTTTGTACGGTTTAGCACGGTTTTGTAGCAAGNACATGGTTTATTTTTGGTGTGTCATGTACTTTATTAATATGAAAATTGAATATGCATAAGTGCGTGTTGAAGTGTTGGCCAAAAGCAAAGTTGTTTCTTTAACCAAGCCGAATATATTTTTTATTGTTGGTGTTGCGTGCAGGGGAAATAAAAATATTAAACGCTGCACATCTCTGATTAAGCTTGCTTTCTTAGTTTTTCAG